GTAACACTTGGCGAAATTACTGTCAAAAAAGAACAGAAACGCGGTAGCTGAGAAGCTGTAGAAACTAGCCCACCAGGCCTGCCAACAATAAAATATATCTGAGTGAGTAAGCTACACAACTTAACATCCCCTGCCCGAGATACTTGAGCATGGGCTAGTCTATCAGATTCAAACCCAGGCCTCAAGAGCAACTTCGCAGTTCACAAACAGAGGGCAGAAGCGATTCGAACAGCCACTGATCATTCGAAAGGCATTTTCGGCTGATTCTGAACTTTCATTTATCTTCTGCTTCAATTATCTCACTGCGTAGTTCAGTGTACCTTACAGAAACAAGCGGAGAGGGTACGGGCTGGATTGATCTGGCTTGGGATAGGTACTAGTGGCAAGCTTGTGTGAACACGGTAATGAACCATCGGGTTTCACAAAGATGAGGAATCCTGTTGACTAGCTGACTGATGATTGGTTTCTCAGGATCTCTGGTTGGTTAGGCGTTGTTTGCAGACGGAAACAGGTCTAACCTTCATACGAACTATCATGTTACCCTTTGAAATTCCAGGTTTTAAAGGCACTTTTTCTATCCTCAGGATGGAAGCAAAAGGTTCGTTCGAAACATTATTACGTATCTACCAGACTACATGGTGTTACGTTTCCTCATCATCTGTCTTCCTCGCCAAAATTCTGTCTGCTCTACATGTTTCTCTGTTCCGTGAGCCCTCTGTCGTTGCTATGGTAATACGTCCTGGACGGTTTCCATTGCAACTGACCTAAGTCCTTTCCGATAACGGGGGGCCTGACCTCGATTTCAATTTCGCACGCCAGAGTGCAGTGGGATCGTCGTTACTTGCACAAACACAAATTAGTTTTGTAACTAATCTTGTTATAAATATCAGACCTTCATGGCTAAATCAACAAGAGAGAGAGAATCGAGTTTCTGGGCAACCTGTTGTCGCGAGCCAATCGCTTCAACGTCAAATTGTATCTCTAACAAGAACACATAATGTGGAGGTCACGTTTCTTGTACATTGGAAGTTCCCAGCCCAAGCCAAAACAAATTTGCCGTCTGCAACAAGAGAGAACAGCGTTACTCCAGTCCCTGTCTGCTCACAGAAATCAGTGTTACCACACAAATGCTGTTTACTGCGAGAATCATAGGGAATACACAAATTGTAGAGTTCTGTATAATGTTAAAGCAGGTGGTACATATAGTTACCACTGTATTTTAGACGGTTAAATAAATTAACGTCACGATTTGTAGCAACGAATCAACTGGTATTAGCGTACGGCGCGGTATCAAGAAACCTCTCGACCGTGGCCTATTTTAAACATACTGTCCTTCCAAGTGCCACGGCCCTTTGTGAGGATAATGAAAACACAAACTAGACACTGTGCCGCAGTGTGCGCGTGCGTACATCTGTGTCTCCACTCGAAACTTGGTCCCATGAGAATGTGATATTCTGACATGAAACAGACTAGACACACAACCCCCACACAGGGCCGCCTATTTCGTTACATAGTAAATTTTGTAAAAAAAAAAAGTCTATGAAACATACGCAGATGCGAGTGTTAAAATTTGATCAGTTTCCTGAAGCAGGTGTCCTTGCAGAATTAACAATCCCATAAATACATTTGTTTCCTCCTTTGTTGTGTAACTGGCAACGCAGTCAGATATGCGCGGAAATATTTTGTATTGCTATTGGGGTGGGACTGAGTCCCTTGCACTGCGGCCACTTCTGGTCTATTGTACCAGCCCCAGATGATAGGTGAGGGTGATTGTGGAGCAATTGGTGAAATGAAGATTGGCAGGGGAAACCGAAGTACTCGGAGAAAACCTGCCCCAGCGCCACTTTGTCCACCACAAATCCCACTTCACCAGGCCCGGGATCGAACCCGGGCAGACGCAGTGGGAAGCCAGCGACTAACCGCTTGAGCTACGGCGCGGCTGCAGAAATATATTACTATACAATCAGCTGTAATGGCCATGTAGCACACAGAAGACAAGAAATATGCATGCAAACGTTTGGTAGGAAAACATGAAGAAAGATACACACGTAAAAGAGAGGACAATGTTAAAATGGATGTGAAAAAAAAAATTGTCTGTCTGGCTGAATTCAGGTACCAGTGGCGGGCTATTGTGAACACGGTAATGATTTTCAGTTTCCATAAAATGCTGATAATTTCTTGGCAAGCTGAGCAACGGTCAGCTTATAATGAAGGACTTCGCTCCATGGGGTCAGTGAAAAGAGGACTCAAGACGTCCGACCTCCGGATGGGAGGGACACCATACTGCGCCTGGAAGTCTGCAGTCCCTTGTTGCACTGACCTCGTCTCACAAAACCGTTAATGAGGGTAGAACCCGGTGACAGCTCCAATAATTTGCTGCAAGGACAATGGAAACTGTTTGTTCCAGTGTGGGACACTGCTTACGGAGTTCCCTCCGAGGGAAGGAAGGTCATAGCTGCAACTGGAAACAGAGGTGCGGACACATCGCGCGGGCAGTGTTACCGGACACGGTGTGTGTGTGTCCCCCCCCCCCAACAGAGGGCTCTGGGCCCGTGCGAGCGGGACTACTGAACCAAGGGGCCGCGCCCTATCACGTATAAAAACAAGCCGCAAGAAGCAGGCTTTGGTGCCTGCTTCACACATTTCAACATTAAATGTGTTCCTCCGAAACGTCTGTTGACTTCCAACGGACTGCATGGCGTTACAGCCCAGAAGACAGGATTCTTCAGAACAGGCGCTGTGAGAACGTCAAATTCTACAAGTTAGGAAGTGTACGCATTAAGCCGCAATTCCGGGTCCTTATTAGCAGGAGAAGGACGAGATTTAATGCAGGACATGAATGCGTGTCCTGTGTCCTGTGCCCTGACCTGGTAAATGTTTAGCGAGCATGTACTGTCTTCGCTCGCTTGGAAACCGGGATCGTGGGTTCGAATCCCACTCAGGGCATGGATGTTTAGTTTGTGTGTGTGGGTTTCTCCGTGTTTGTGTACAGGTAGAGGCCTTGCGACGAGCTGATCACCCGCCCAAGGAGTCCTACCGAATGTGTAAGATCTAGAAAAACCGAACTGAACGGAAAAGTTCATGGAGGTAGGCCTAGGCCCACTGGGGCTGTAGTGCCAAGGAAAAAAAATGTTTAGCGAGTTAGGCAACTGGTTATCACCCGTCACTACAATTTCTGGATGGCAATAATAATAAAGCTTTGAAAAACTAACTGACTTTGCTCTCACACCAAGAAATACTGCAAATTACACACGCAGCACAACAGAAAAGGAAGCAGGACACCTTCCACAACTGGTCGCGGAGTCTAATGGAGTTGGCATGGACATGAACACGTGATTACATTCTGGCGTAGCAACCAACCAAATAAAACTCGTGGGCACTGAAGGGATTGGTGTGGCGGTTAACCCCATTACTCCTATTCGGTAGGTGCACGGTTCGACCCTCGGCCGGAGCACTACCTATCCTGAGGTTAATATTTTCCTCAGTCGCCGCAATAGTACATGGTATAGGCCACGGTCGCCTCCTTCCAAACCCTTTCCAATTCACCTATCGTACCATTTGACACTACTTGTCACNATAAGAAGGGGGGGGGGGGGGGGGGACCAGTGAGGTCCGGTTTAACCCTTTCTATGCTCAGTTCAAACAAGTGCCTTGGGTTATTTGAATGTCTGGAAGATTGTTGACACTTCCACAGATGAACACCAGTCAGTTCATCCGAAATGACAACAAATCAGTTTCAGAAAACCTCCCTATAGACAGATCTCGGGCGTAGGTCGTAAACAGTTACGGTGGCGTCAACTGGCAAACAACGTCCGAGAATACTTCCTAAGATTTGGCCCCGACCTCCGACAAAACAGGGCCCATCTTCGTTGCCAAAACCGTTTGCGAGTCTGACGCAGTCACAACAGGAAACTCTGGCACTAAATTTCGTGTACGGAGTCACCCTGATTCATTGTTGGTGTTCAGTCTCCTCTTGGGCATTATCACCGTGTGGATGTGGGCAGTGTTTCCGACGTTTCGGAGGTACATGATGCCTCCATCTTCAAGGTCTAAGTACGTAGGGTGGGCGAGTGTGTTATACATATTATTCTCCTTACTTCGGCCCAGAAGACACAGATAAAATGTACCCCCGAAACGTCGGCACACACAGCCCGCATCCACAAGACCCAAGATCGGAATCAACATAAAGAAATGGTTGCGGTTTTTTTCATGCATCCTGTTGTGTTACAATATGCAGCCTCTTCATTACAACCGTCACAACACAAATCAAGACCAGTGCCCAGTTTCGGTTATTAATAGCCATCATCAGGCAAATACATGGCCAAAATATATACAACACTGAACCGCGGTACCAGTAAAATTGGATATAATATATTACTTATATAAAATACTTGACGTAAAAATACAAAAAATTAGATTACATAAAACAGAAGTTATAGTATAAAACAAGAATAAATTCTTTGATCGATGTTTTAAATCATTGAGTCAGTCGTTGGTTTTGTAATTTTGTTGCGTTTCCACGGACAAATTGGAATATTCTATATTTTGTGTATATAAAATTGTATAGGTGACTCGTGATGTAGATGTAAATTAATGTTAATTATTTAGTCGGTGCCTTATCTTACAAAGTATTGTCCGTTCTGTGGGGATATGTAAGCGTTTCATGGAAAACAAACATTGTACAGACTAGTGCAACTCGAAAAGCCCTTTAAATCGCGCACTGTGTCCAACTGACGCACAACTCTGGAGGATGTGAACCGCCATCACCCCGGAAAATAGTCCTGGGATGGGGGTGGGGGCGTCAGTGACCATGACCGTCTCCTGCCACATTCTATGCAATTCGTTATTCACTGATGATCCCATAATTCTGCGCTGCTGACAGCGCCATTAAACAGACCACAACAAATACAGCTACGAACCTTGTAGCATGTGTACCGTACAGTCTGGTACGCGGGAACACGACCCACAATACTACAATACGAACACTCAATAAGACTCACCAGTGGACTCCGCCACCGCGCTGACAAGCCCAACACAGACACTCACAGCGATATACAGCAGGGCTGTGCCCGCCATCTCGCACTGCTCGAACAGTCGCCTTTACCACACGCTGCACAATCACGACTGAACTCGCTACACTCACCTAGCCCCGGCTCGGACGAGTTGCGCGCGCACTAGGGGCGTGTTGCATTGCTCGGAATAGCGCAGCCTGCTCTGTAAGCACACGGAACACTAACGAGCCGCTCACTTCTTGCAAGAAACATAAAAGCTTACACACCATGTCATAAAAATGCAGGGGGGAAGTGGAGGTATATTCTACACATTCTTAAACTAGGCACTAGATGGATGTGAATGGTTAACTTCACGCCCCGGCCGCTTTACCCCCATGGAAACAGCCTCTGGTACCTACTGAACTGAGGGCCCGGTCTGCACGCTGTGGAGAAGATAAAATCACCTGCCCCTGCCGGGAATCATAAATATGCAGGGAGGAAGTGGAGGTATATTCTACACATTCTTAAACTAGGCACTAGATGGATGTGAATGGTTAACTTCACGCCCCGGCCGCTTTACCCCCATGGAAACAGCCTCTGGTACCTACTGAACTGAGGGCCCGGTCTGCACGCTGTGGAGAAGATAAAATCACCTGCCCCTGCCGGGAATCGAACTGCGACTCCTCGGCCGTCCAGTCCCATAACCCATCGCTGCATGAACTAAGCTATCCACTGCCACAACAGCGACTGTTGCAGTCAACATCTGAGACATTACTCAGCTTCTTCTGTGGGTCGTTCAACTACGCTGTCAGGATCGGGATTGATGGATGAATGGGAAGAGATTTGGTAGGAAGTGGTCGTAGCCTAATATAAATCCTACCTCGACATATGCCTGGAGAAAATACGGAGAGCCACAGAGAACCTCAGTCACTAAAACATGCAGCGAGTTTGCCAAACACGTAACAGTTGACTGCCACGGAAGTTCTGTGTAGGCCAACTGTGTATCTTAGCAGGAAAGCTTCAGAACCAGGAGTCATGGGATCATATCACTGCAGCAACTACTATGTGAACCAGTCTAGCTCACTCAGTGTCTGGCTACCGGCGGAGCGAACGTGAATAGATTCCCGACAAAGACACGTCACTCCCGTGTCGAAATCCACGCGGCCTCCTATCCTGCGAGCACGAGGGTGCTAAATGCCGGACCTGGTTGCCCAACACTACTGCAGAGCTCTAGAATTGATGGATTGTTGTAATTTTGTGATTTACTCGGGTCACTTGCGTTGTTACGGTACGAAAACGAAGGTGGGTGTTTTCTGTTGGATATGTCGCTAAGACGAACAAAAACGAACAGGCCTATATATGCAGCGTGCAGAGCCGTTACTATGTAACGACCGCGAGATAAGCAAAATGTACCACAGCCGTTTCTAGGCAACGGCTTTATAAACATGTTTCCGCAGAGACAGGCACGAACGCAACAATGGTACTACAGCAACAAAAGAACTGTGTTTTCTGTGGACAGCACCGCGGCCGTTGCTACGCAAGAGCGCAGTAAACACATCTCTGAGACAACTCATCCTAAGTGACATCTAATTTTGGTAGGGAAATTTCATCGAAATTTTTACTTGAAAAAGACCCTAAATCTTCTTGTTGATTACTGTACGACTATTCAGGAGACAGATAATATTGCGGCCAACATGAGGAGTGCGAAAGGAGTTTTAAGTAAGCGGCCATAACACAATCGAGGTCCTATTCCTTATTTCCCTGGAGAGACTAAGAAAAACAACGAAGAGCCTCGGATGGGATATGCAGCATCGATAGTGTGCAATGGGTTTTGGTATTAGCGGCGAGGAGCCTCCCAGTTCTGCCCACAGAGCGACAGTTTAATAATGACGGTAATACCTCTGCACTGTAGTGTTGCTACTTCTGAGCCCCGCTGGCTGCATAACTTCCCGAGTTCCGTAATTCGGGGGCGTGGAGGGATCTACATGTCTTACGTGGCTGCGGAAACTGGGGAAAGCAGGAGAGCCCGGAACTGCGTCAAGGCGGAGAGCCGGAAACGTGGGATAAAAGAAGGCTGGAGGAGAGAGAATGGACGAAGCAACTGTTCCTTTAAGTGCTAGCCTGAGTTCGAGGTTGTGTGCGGAATTCATTGAAGCCTTAGAAGACAAAATGGCAGAACGCAAAAGACCGCCTTCAATTCGTTCTTGGAACCTGCATGTTCATCACCCTCACCATAAAATCCAGAAAATGAACCCTATTCTGTCATTTTTTTGGGCTTGTTTTGGACTTCATCCATCGTCTGGTATGTAAAAGACGATGGCTGAAGTCCAAAACAAGCCAAAAGAAGTACAGTATACATCGTCAGAATCCTTTCAAGTCAACTTATTCTGTCCCTTCATTAGAGACCGGTAGGTACTAAAATTTCGAAGAAAACACTGCCGCCTTTTTCAGGCTTGAAGTGAAGATGGGGATCCCCATTTGTCAGACCACACTGGGCCACTGCTCCGTTCGCAGTTCCTTGTGCTGGCACCAAGTGGCTCCACTGTTCCGCATCGCACGGAGCTACACTGTACTCATTAAGTTTTAAGATTAAGTTTTCTGGGATGTGAAGCCATGTAATGTTATATTTCGTCTGGTAGACACCGACGTTTCGGAGGAACTTAAACTAAAAGCAAAAAAGGGAAATATTCTTTGTGGGGAAACCTTTCCAATTTATTTTCATCTTACCATTCACGCCATGAAATCTGCGTTACTGGCAGCGTAATTAAATAAACCACGTATGAATACATGAAAGTAAAAGGCATTATAAAATCACAAATATAAATCACTCCGTCCAATGTGACCTGTAAGTTTTTTACCACATGAAAACTTAACACCCTTACATGTTTCGGTCTCTGTGGACAATCTTCAGAGGGCAAACATCACTACAAATAGGAAACCACCATCACATAAGTTGTTTAGACGTAAAGTACGTACACTTATATGCTACAATACATAGTACACAAAATAGACATTTCACATTGTAGTGATGTTTGCCCTCTGAAGATGGTCCACAGAGACTGAAACATGTAAGGGTGTTAAGTTTTCATGTGGTAAAAAACTTACAGGTCACATTGGACGGAGTGATTTATATTTGTAATTGTTAGTGTGACGGACCAGAATGAAACAAATCAAACGCATTATAAAATGCTTGCACACATGCGGTCATTTCATTCCTGTGCTGAATGCATATATTTCCCTTAACTGGATCGAAATATCAAAAATTCTGTCCACAACTGAGTACACTTCAAGACACATGGCATTTAGAAGTACAAGGACTTTCAGACTGTGTTGAGGGCAACTGGAGTGACTGAAACCAAGCAAGAAAACATCCAAAATTGGCTTCAGCTTGTCTTTTTATACTTTTTAAATAAAGATTATAAAGTAATATTTTTTTATTTACTTTCAGCAACACTGCCTCTATTATAAATTTTCCATTTGTTTTCTAAGTTTTTTTGTCTTTTAAAGCTATCCACATTACTCGTGCTCGTTGGGAGACTCGTCTGGCTTTTACTCGTGCTCATAAATCTTTGCCAGGCTTCGGCACGTGAGGATCCGTATATTTACTCATAGTGTGTATAGGCTGTAGTAGTATTTTAATTTACAGGCTATAATTTTTAAATTAAAAATTTAAAATTTGCTTGTCTTGTGACTTGTCATATCGTCCACATTACTCATGAGCATAGCCAGTCGCACGAGCTCAAGTAATGTGGATGCGCCTTTAGAGTTGCAAAATTGAACAGGGAACATGGAAGATGATGTGAAACTCACTGTAACCAATTATTACAACCATGTGGTGTGGCAGGATCATCAGCAGTGTTACAGAGAAGCTGGCTACACCCAACCCATCACTGTGGGGAAGGCTAAGGGTGAAAACTTTGTACAGATTATTGGGTCAGGGACCCTAACTGAACAGAGACAAGGGGGCCAGAGTTGGTCCATTTGTCACTTCTGTATACTTACTCTCTCGCTTACTAGCGCAGTGTACTGAAGTATCCTGAAGATGAAGACAATCTTCCGCTAGCCTACAGGGCATCACACTGTGGAGTGTGTGTAAAGTTGCAACATAGTGATTCATGTATGAGCTGCCTGCTTAACTGAAGCAATACACAGGCACATCTCCTCAGGCAGGACATGGGACACAGGTCACAGAAAACATACACAACGACAAGACTCAATTATATATTCACAAATGTTTGCTGGTTTGCAGTATTAAAATTCACCGGATATTCAGAAACATCACACTACAATCACGGTATGTACGTTTATTACCAACTTAATGCAGCCATAACCAGACACATACACAGTTTCCTCTCTACCTACGAACACACAAATTGGCTACTTTCCATATGTACAAAAATGTCCACATACAGAAGAGTACATATAACATTTACAATGAAACAGAGGCATGTAGCGGTACTAGACGTCGTTCAAAGGAACCGCATGTCGGGATGCTTCTAGGGAACAGAAGAGACCATTAAAATAGTTTCCATGGGTGGTGGGGCAGGACTCCCTGGTTCCACTCCGCAAAGAACTTCCCCGGCGGCTGCTGCTGGAACTGGGGCACTATTACAGCCTCAACATCTTCGTCTGACTGGACTCTACAACCTTGAGCACTTACTTCAGGGGGCAAAATATGGCCAGGTTTCATCGGAACAGCTGTCATAAATACATCAAGAGGGAAGAAGGTGCGAGTGAGAAGGAATTATTTCAGTGATGCCTTGAGTGGAAAATCATTTGAGCAGCAGCTTCCAAAGTTTATCTGTGCACAGCAGACTCCTTGACAGACTGTAAGACTGTCAGTCGCAGTAGATCTGTTTGTGTCCCTTCTCTCTGAGTCTGCAACACTCATCATATAATCATCATTGCAAATACTGGTTACAAACTGCATATGGAAATCATTACACAATTCTGCAAATGGTACTACTTTCTGAGCAATGATAACTTTCTCCTGTTGTAGGAACGTGTTCTTACTGCCAGACAAGTTCACCTCTTACCATTAAGCCGAAGATGCAAGGTACTGATTCTCCACCTCATTATGGTTGTTTCCCTTATCAGTGTGTCATATGGAGTGGATTCATCTGGCTCAGAGCAAGGGCCAGCAGCGGGCTCTTGAAACATTGCAATGAACATTCTGGTTCCACAAAATGTTGGGAAATTCTTGAGTAGCTGAACGACTGGTGGCTTCTCAAGAAGGACTTGGCTGCATGGAGTTAGTGCCCCTGTCAATATTAAATTTTAAAGGAGCATTAACATTCAAATATCGAACCCGTGACTTTACACCTTGTAGCATAGTGCCCCATAGGTTAGAAAATTTTGAATTCTGGCTGTTTAGACGTGTCCTGACACTTAATAGTGATACTGGTGGTCTAAAATCAGGATTGTGCTGAAATGTTCAGAAATACATACAAATTAAATTCCATACACTGATGTAACATAGCAAATACAAATTTCCGACCATACTGTTCAGAAACCATATTTATGAAAAAAATTAATTTCACATAAAAGATCACTGATCTACCACTGTACTGGACCAGTACACAGGACGATTTTGAACTTCCCACATTTTAAACAGAAATAAATCAGCATTACTGCACATTTATATCTCTTCATGGTCTGCAAGCTGCAGTAAACATAACATATGTAGAAGTAATGGCACTACACTGACATCAGCCGCACTGCCAGGTGGCACCATCGGTTCACAGGACTGGCAGCAAGCGTGTTAAACAGAAGTAACTCTCAGTATTGGTAACAATCTGCTACGTACATCGCATGCAAGGGGCCAGTAACTCTCCGTATAAGACGACACCCAACCAATATGATGTGGAACAGAATAACATGCACAAGCATACTCACCAACACAGCCACTCACAGAGACAGACGAGACTACTGGAGTCCCATGATACATCAATTAATTTCTACATTTATTGCAAGAAGAAAGCCCACGACAGTTTAATGAGAAATATGCCTACCCTGAATATTTGTGATTTTGTATGATTCTCACCATAAACTGTGACTGTTTCCCTAAACAGTTTTAGCACATCTGACTGTAATGGAGACACAGTGTGTTTCGTGTGAGATAAGAAGTGACTCTTTACATGTTACTTAGATGAACTTATCCTTCAAAGTGTCCACACATCACTGCAAAAGCCATGTTCTTGTGCTTCACTTACTGACACTGGCAGTATCAGCATGAAACAGCTGACTGCGAATGATGAAGTGGTCCTGCCCTGGCAGTTCCCTGAGGTCACTTACAAAGGAAAACCTATCAGGATAGCTTGCTGAGACATGAACTGAGCACCCCCAAACAGAAGTATTATGCTTTACTTCTAGAACAACCTGCCACAGAACCGTTTCCCTAGATTGCATAGTTCAAAAGGGAATTACACACAAAAGTAAATCAGAGTTTCTGAACATTTCAAAATCTCAAATAAAGCATGTTTTGCTACCAAACATACCCCATCTGTTCTCCGTCCCTCCCACAATTATCTGATATTTTCCAGGTAAATGGAAGCTATACGGACACACGTTTCTTGTGTGTCTGTGCACGTGTTACTGACACATGATGACAGAGGTGCAGATGCTGTATCTACACCACATCTGAACGCTCTGATTCCTACTTCATAGTTTGGAGGTCTGAGGTTCAAACTTCAATCCAGAAATCAATTATCCTGACTGAGGTTTTTCATGGTCTTCCTTGGTTCCTCTGAGTAAATGCTGGGATAGCACTTCAACTTAAGCCATGACTACTACTGCCTCTCCATGTCAGTATTCCTCTGTCATCCTAGCATTCAGTACCGAACAGTTCGAGCTATTCACACCAAGGTTACACACTCTGTACAAAGCTCACGGAGATGCACACAGCTACAGCACAGTTCAGTTTGATCCTTGGCAAAAGATCTTTATTGCACATCCATCACCTGTACTGTCTGCCAGTCTGTCTGTCTCCCCTCCCCCCACACTGTCAGATCTTATTACCCCTTTAAAGACTCGGTTTCTTCACAGTTTTATATACAATTTCAGTCTGTACCTCAGAGGAAACATATTATGTCTCCACTACTGAGACCAACCACTTTGGGGAAACAATCGCAGTTTGCTGTGAGAATCATATGAAACACAAACACATTCTGTGGGCAGAATGCCAAGTTTTAGTGGGTTAAAAATGAGGTAGCAATCACTAGTCTTTAAAGGGCTAATTGAGGAATTCAAGAAATCTTAACTACAAATGTGCCTTAGTCACAGCCTACACGACTACCCACAGAAGTTACCCGTTGTACAAGTATACCAGCTGACACTGTGACACCAGACATGGCCATTGTTTACCTTCCTTAGCTGTCCACCTAGGCAAGTGCACAAGGATCAGTTTCTGAGGTGGAGGACACCAACACAGCAGATGTTTGTTAGCCCCAGTGATAGTGATCATGAGAACGATGGTCAGCAAAGAGGATTTACAGCTTAGCGTGGACACCTGACAGGAAGGGAAAGGTCCTCAAGTCCATGAAGTTTTCTCTCATGTACAGAGATTTTACTGGGCACCAAATTCAGAACCCTCCGAATGGGAGCTCATGATCTTACCCTGAGACCACAAGTTCCCCAATATCTAAAAACTTTCTGAGTATGCCAGCCCAAGGTAAGAACACCTCCACTCTGCTATAGGCAACTCTGTCTGATGGATACAACTTTGTTTGGGCAGCTAATGTCAATAGAAATGCTGATGCCAGTTCTTTCCAGATTTTATTTGAATACACAGAGCAATAAATATGAATAACTTCTGCACTGGAGCCACTGCCAGTCTCACTCACACAAGGTGGCATTCCTGTGGCTCACACAATGAAGCACGCTCTGAAGACTGCATGTGCTACAGGAAACGGGGTCTCTGCTAGATGTGTGGGCAGGGCAGTGCTTCACGCCGACGTTTCGGCACTCTGCGACCAATATGCAACACCACCTGACCTGTCCGGATCTCTTTGAACACTGCAATGGCCTCCTGGTGACTGAGTCCATGCAATGCCTTGCCATTCACTGCTAGTACCTCGTCACCTGCAACTCACAAGCAAGAAATTGTCAGGTGCTACAATGCCATCAAAGCTGCTATTCATTCAGCTCAGTAAGCAACTACCCACCCTTCACAAAGCTTGACAGTTCATTACAGTGTTCACAACAGCATACAACTGTACTTTATCCTGTCATAGACACAACCCATCCACAACTTCCTCTAATGTGCATTTTAATATTATCTTCTCCATTACACCACCAAGGCTCTTTAAGTTGCACTACTTCAGGAAAAGTTCTGTATGCATTTCTCATATTACCTATGCATGTTACATGGCCTTCCCATCTCTTATTATGTAAGGAATACAAAATTATGAAACTCTCATTACATAATTTCCCTAGTCTTTCTCACAGCACCGTAGTTCTCCTCAGCGCCACTGCACTGCACTGCACTGAACATGCCATATCTGCTTCCCTTAGGATGAGAGACGCAGTTTCACAGCATACAAAACAAAAAGGCAACCCCTATATTCTCATCTCTTAGTTCTTCTGTGTGACTTTCACGGTTCGGGCTGGAATGAACAATAGGATTACAGCCTCCTGTGACATGATGCCATGTAGTTAGAGGAAACTGCTGCCTCCATCTTCATGGCAGAGAAAGCAATACAAATACTGTTCTGCTCTGTTAGCAATATTCCCAATAGGCACAACAATCCCCACCCCTTCGTTATTGCACCTTAGCATATGTCTGAGTCCTGCACCATTTCCTGTACCATATGCTGCCATCTTCCGAAGTACAAACTGTGCACTATGCTACAAACCGGAGGGTCACGGGTTGGATCCCGATCAGGGCATTCAATTTTTTCAAGGCACCCAATCCTTTCAGCCGCACTATGGCCCTGTCGTGGAATCAGCCTCTAACAGAAATGAGTACCAGGAATCTTCCTGGCGGTAAAGGGCATCCGGCTCGTAAGGCTGACCTCACCGCCATCTGTGAGCTGACTGTCCAGAAAATGTGGTAGCATCAACGTCTCACAATCCTATGGGCCTCCAAGGCCTGTTACAGGGATAGCTTTATCTTATTTTTAGCACAAACTTTACTACAGACTTGGGAACCCTACTTACTAAACATCCCTTGCATAAGTAAACGTTACAGCAATAAAGTCCATCCCAATGTTATACTTTTTAATTTCCTACAATCAGTAACAATAACATCACAGATGCACGAACTTGTGAGGTGAGCAGGACACTAGCATCACCTATGGTAACAGATTACACTGCACACAAGCAAACTTTCTGTCTTCCTTTGAGTCTGATGGCAATGATTAACCATCCTCTGGAGCTAGGCATGTAAAAACTGGTATCAAAATACACTGCAAACATACCTACACATAAATGAGTGAAATACTCTTTGTTCAGTCGACAAGTAGAAACATGGCGATGATGCAAAACTCTGAGGTTTTACATGTCAAACTTAACATGTGTAGAATCTGTACAAAGGTAACGAGTTCTTCACAATAACAACAACAGACCTGCAGGACAAGGCCCACATGGATCAATCAGGTGTAACTATCCAATGGGACACAGTAAGACTGTGAACGCTGACAGTGGGAGGATGCAATGCAGCTCAAAGAAATGACAAACTGACAAACAATGGTACTTGGCCTCACCCTCTTTAAGCCTGCCGCTGTCAGCCGCCTGGCCATGTGGAAACACAGTCTTCACATAGATGCCCATGTTCCCTTTGGGGGAGTCACGCCCCCCCACAATACTGAATCCCAGGCCTTTATGACCTGGTCCTTTCGTGAAGGCCACTGACAGGATTGTGAAGGCTGCGCCACGCCCAGCGCCGTGCCGCGGCAGCGTGCAAAACTTGCTCTCTTCTTCCTCCTCCTCCTCCTCATCGTTATCTTCATGTTCCTCCTCACCAGAAGAATCGTCCAGCTCTGTCCGTTCTGACACCTGGTGACAGTACAGCACACTATAAGCTCTGTGTAGCCTGCACAAACCTTGTTCTACTATCTGGTGCCTCAAGTACACTCACAGGAGCCACCTCAGAACAGTACACTCCAGACCAAAATCACATCTTCACCATTATTATTATTATTATTATTGGAGGGGGTGGGTTTCCCCATGCACCGCGACCAGTTTGATCTATTGTGCATCCCCCTATGATCCTCTACCAGCGTCTATACCCTGCCGGTATTGGTGCTTACCATCAGTCCCTACTCGGCCAGCGAGGTCGGCCTCTACTGGCTCAGAGGTATCTCAATGCTTCCCCCTTTTACCAGAGGCGTTACAGACTACTGTTGGGCGGGAAATGTCCTTAATTTAGCTCAGTGGCCTCCTTTGGAGACATGCCGTAAAGCTACGACACGGGACACAAGGCTGAATTTTTCCGCCCTTAAAAATTCCACGACCTCCGCCGGGTTTGAACCCGCGTACCTTGAGTCATGACGGAGGCCGCTACATATTCACCATACCCAGGAGTGTTCCAAACAAAAGCTGCACATCATAATAAGATCTGCATTATGCACCCACCTTCTGTAAGATAAACCATTGTTTCAAAAGTAACGGATTTCAGCTTCGTGTAAAAAAGGGGGCTATGCTGTACTGACGTGAACCTGAGGCGAAACGCTGTGGTGGAGTGGTGAGCGGGTTGCATTCCCTCAGTATCAAGGACGGGGCAATATATGAATTCAAAAGCATTTTAATGGAAACGATCCTGGCCTAATCGACGTACCTTCCCGGCATGATGAAAACCACAAAAACCTCAGTCACAATTCAAACGCACCCTCCTGGAAACAAGTCCAACCTGTTCAATACGACGTTCAAATCTCAGTCCGGAGACGTCCTAACCGAGGATTTTCCTGGCCTCCTTCAGTTTTTACAGGAATATGGTACCTCAACTCCTCCGACATCCTCTCCAATTTACTATTGACGAACCATCATGACTGGAATTCTGCTAATCACATCACATACCTTCGGTCGCTGCGCCAGATCGCCACTGCTGCGGTGGTTACGCCGTACACTGTTCAGCTGCTGCTTCTCGCCCAGTGCCTCCTGCAGCTGTTGTATCAACTGGCGCTGCTTGCTGCGCACGTCACTGCTCTCCTCCGAGACGTACGGCAGTGAGGTCGGGCCCGCCTCGGGCACTGTACCAAAGCCGCAAGATACGCTGCCACCGATCACAAAGCCGCATGGCTGATCCGCCACTGACCACCTTCTGCTCCGCCGCTGGTCGCCCTCGATGCTGTGGTAACCCTGATCGTGTGGCGGGGACGGCGAACAGGACTTCCCTCTACATCGCGACGAAGAAGCACACGACGACGCACTGTCGGTACTCCTACCGTCCAAGTCCTCTGTCGGGGGCGTGGCCGTCCCCCTCCCGGAAGAGCAGGCGCTGGACAACTTCCGCTGCCGGGTGTCTGCGTCCCGAAAAGCAAACGGAGGAAGAGATACCGGACCGGACCTCTCGGAGAACTCTTCTTCCGAAGTTTTCGAAAGTGGCGAAGGGACGTAGAACGTGGGCTGACTCGGGGCAGACGTGCACATTTCGTGCACGGACACTGCTCTGCGCTTGCGCAGCCCGGCGTGCAGGCGATTCAGCTTGGTGCGCAGAACTTCGGGGAACAGGTGATGGCTACTGGCGCTGCTCCGAAGAGGGGTCGCGGGGGGCATGCTGATCACCACGGCGTGATCAGCGGGCAACAGCAGGCGCTCACACTGTGGCTGCGACGGCGGCGACGCGCAAGACCCCGGCGACGGAGTCGTAAAGGATGAACAGCGGCGTCGCAGGCGTCTCCAGCGTTGCGAGATGCTTTTGTTGAACACCGCGGGATCTGAAAGAAGGCAACCCCGCGAGGGTATTCAGTCACATGAATTGTATTGGGGGTGTCTGAGCGGGAACATTTGGACCCAGGAGAGGGGACGTGCCAGGACGGAAACAGCTGCAAATGACACACTTCACGAATTGCCTACTCTCCCTGTTCTGAAAAAAAAAAATAGGCTTATAGTATGTACGAGATCATGGCATCTGAGCCCATCAGTTTTGTGTCTGCGTGAGTATCCGCCCCACAGTTGCCGCTGCAACGAAATGTTGGGTGCGTCGTAACTTCTTGTTAGCGCACTCCAATCACGCAGCGAATCGCGAGGTATGTAACATGCACTGAATAACTGAGAGAAACACGAAGGGCATTTCTTCGGGAAGTACGGGGCTGCGACAGGTGTCACACTTGGGAGAAAACACGCGGCAACACTGCACACTTATTGACGTAATGACGAGCCTGAAATCCGCGGGAGACACAGAACATTTATAAACTGCTTTTACATCCAAACGTGAGCAAACTGACGATCACCTTCCAGACTATACGGCGTCACAATCTCTCTCTTCGGTTGCTCCTGGGCACGAGACAAGCAGCCGCTGCCTCTCGCTCGAGATTTGGATTCGGGAGGTGTTCCGTTCGAATTTCGGCCGCAACACCGGCTGTCCTGGCTGGGATTTTCTTGCTTTACCTCAGGCTTTCCTGGCAAATGCTGAATTAGAGCATTGTCACTTCCTACTCGCCATTCGACCCACTATCAGACGCTACATACAGTACGCTGCGCACGCACGCTGCCCTGCACTGTCAGTTGCTTCCGGTACCAGGTGTTGCGCGCCGGAAGTGGTGGGGGAGTTATCATCTGAGTGAGTCACTCACAGCAGAGGCCCCGCGCGGGTGACGATGTCCCAACAGTGGCTACCGTGGTTACGTGGCCGCCTTTCCGAAATCACTTTTCTTGTGCGGAGACTAACCTCCGTTTACAAAACGCGCTTATTAGCAACCAGAGCTTTCACCTCCGAAACTTCAGACTACGAGGCCAGTACTGTTGCTGGAGTTACGGCGCTTTGTTGTACGTAACTCAGACGGCCTCTGCCACGCACAGTGCCTGTCAACTTCACAGCTCTGGGCCATAGTTATCAACTGTTTGCTTATCACTGTAGTGGCGCTCTGCCGGAGAACTGTACGGTAGGACCTGCGCAGCAAGGCGCAGTGGCGGCGCGTAACGTCTGTGAATTGCACATGAATTTACTTTTTGTGCTTATGACGACGCTCTCGGCAAGTCGAGCTATACAACTCCGAGCGGTCGTGACCAGTTTCAAGGTACTAGATCGCTGTTCGCACTACAAGCGAAATGATGGGGTGTGATAAGATTAACAGCAATAAATTTGCATGTGCTGAGGTCACAGAGGGGCGAAGAACCACAGGCAACGCATCTCGAAAAAGAGGACTTCACACCTCCCCCCCCACCCCTCGTGCTACAACAGTCGTATGCTGTGAGTATGAAACATGGTCTCTCACGAGGCGGGAAGTACAAAGACTGAGAGTATGAAAGGTCCTGTAGTCTCCACGAGTCTACGAACACGCTGCTTTCATCTTGAGGGTAGAAGAGTACGCCCAGCAAGCAGTAACCAGAGGCTGGCCTAGTACTGGACTGCAGCGACAAGAAGAGACTGAAAATTTGGTGGCCTACTTTAATTTCTTATCCCGGCATTCGCAAGTAAACACTAAAGAAATTCCCAGTCAGAGCAGCCGGTTCTTGACCGATATTCGAATCTGATACCCCGTCACCCAGAATACATACACCGCTATGAATCTACAGTCTTAACATGTGCAGACGGGAGATGGAGTCGTCAAATCAACTACCGAGCTTCCCTACTCGCTCCGTTCCTACGAAGACTGATGTCCACCCAAGTAACGTACGAGTATATAAATTCAGTCCGTACCTCACAGGAAGCATTACGTCACCACTACAAAGCCCAGCCGGTTAATGTTGCTTAGCAGAAACAGCCGCTGTTAATGTGACAATATACGGAACACACAAATACACTATGTGGGCAGAATGCTGAGTTCGGTAATGTTTAATCAGTTATGGTACATGGAATCCAACTGTGGGGAACGAGCTCAAACTCAAACATCGAAATACTAGAACGCTACCAGTCAAAGGCACTTCGCATGATAACCAATTCCCCCTGGTATGTGCTCAACAATGTCATCCGGAATGACCTTGGTATGACTGCAGTCAAAGAATAAATAAAACAACTTAGTGTTAAATATAGTAACAGACTTAACAAGCATCCAAACGCACTAGCAACAGACCTCATGAGCCAGCCGATTCGGAAAAGAAGAGTTAAACGTTTTGCGCCAAATGCTCTGCCGGGCAGATTCTAAGCATTATATTTAGTTTATAAGCTAGACTAAGGTTACAGATGTGAGTCCTACTCCTGCAAACACAACTAATCTGTACTGATTATTATACGAAAGGCGCCTACTAATGGGGAGCCTCCTACAAGCCGATATTATATGATCCCACGGTTTGCTTATTGTAACTTTTACAGATTGCAAAAAAAAAAAAAAAGGAGACATTAATAAAAAAACATAGTTACCAAAGGAATTCAAAGGGTAAAAGCACCAAACTGTTACGATGAAAGCAGACGAACTCCCTGTATATGAGCTGTGCTTCCTCATGAATACCGTCTTTGTGCTTTGCATGGCTGACGGCTCCACTGAACGTCCCTTGTGTCGGTATGAAGGTCACGCCGTGACGTCCGATCCTTCGTCCGTCATGCTTCTCTATCCATTCCCACGTGTAGGTTTTACCTCCATGCCCCTGTACGCTTTGCTAGCGCGGTGCTTAAACACAGGTGTAGATACGCAATGCCATCATGATCACCGTGCACGCGAAAACACAATATTGAAATGTATCGTTTTAGAACTCCACGACCAAACCCCCACAGTGTTCGATATTACTTTCCTTACAGTCGATTGCTAAGAAACGGATAATTTCAGGGGAGAATGTATACTACATCATCCCATGCAGAAATTCCCCTAGTTCCAGGGACTATGTGTAATTCCAGGTGGACATGGTACCGAACTAAAGCCACAGTACAAGTGATCATCTCCAGAACGTCAAATACAAAAGGGACAACTGTCGGCAGTTCAGACTGGCAGGATGATCAGTGAATACTGAATTGCAAAGACTGTGTGGAAGGAACCGGCCGTGGCCTAATTTCAGGCACCATCTCGGCATTTGCCCGGACGGCCTGAGGAAAACCACGACTAAGCTGTCAGGACAGCAGGTCCCCTAACCGGGATATGAACCCTGGACAAAGCAACAGCGCCAGCCGATCGGCAACGAGGCGAGGCTCGCGGTCAGGCCACACACAACACACGTGAGCAGGGACTTCATCAGTTGTACCAAGCGGGCAAGCAAATTCTCTCGGAAGATGGCCACTTCCAAGACCCGGGCTCTTAGGAAAGAAACAGAGGAAGAAGTGTTAACAAGGGAAGCTTTCGGGACGATTAGTCACGACGCAAGAACTAAACAGTGCATCACGAGACGTGAATCACTGGCCGCGGGGACTCCTCGCACGAACATAACAACCCTGAGGGCGGCCGGCCGCGGTGCGGATGCAGGAAGGCCACCACGAAAACAAAAGGAGGAGAACAATGGAAACATGGGAGCCCACTGCGTAACAATTCCCACCATGCATGCATCACGGCGCAACAGACTTTCAGGCTGCTTTGGAAAGTAAGTACATCTGCTTATCTGCTTTATTGCGACAGGCCCTGATAAGTGTGCTGTTTGCTTTGGCGCTGGGGAGCGTAAGCGACAGCGCTGTTAACTTACACACCATGTTCCTACCTCACAGAAAGCATACTGCCTCATTACAAAGATCAACACGCCTTTCTTACATTGCGTGGGGCCGTGTATGAGCAAATAAATAAATTCTCCTTGGCCGATACAACCCAAAATTAAATTCACCATGAAACTCTGAACGTAGGACGTGAGTACCCACACCAGTTCAATCGCAGCGTCCACACAATGTACACTTCGTGCTCAAAACAACATGGAACACAGCTGTAAGCCGCGCTGTAGTATCTCTACTGCACCTCCCTATCCGCCGTAACTACCGACCGTGCTGAATGCAGCATGCGGCAACTGAACATGAATGTACTCCACAGAGGAGCACAGCAGCAACATGGGAACACGACACGACTGGGCTGTACAGCTCCCCACTTGTACTGGGGCAGCACGCGGCTCGAATCTCGGCTGGGACACCAGCTATCAAGACTGATATTATCTTGATTTTACTTAGTATCTCCCCCGCCCCAGATAAATGCCAATGATCCTACCATCGCCGCTACACTCTACTTCGGGAGCTGGGATAGCTCCAGCTCAGCTGGACCCCACCCAGCGTCTTATCCGATGGGTACTGGGGGCTCTTTCTTCTGGGATGAAGCTGACCACTCACATTAAGCACGGGGATACGTTTACCTTTACTGACGTGGACTGGTTGCTGTATCCTTACCGCAGTCACAGCCATGCGCACACCTGCTGTCCCACCAGCCGCACAGCATCGCGTCTCGAGTCGCACTGCCTGCCTCACGGCCCTCACGGCGGTCGCTGCCGGTCGCTGCAATGGCAAGGCGGTGTGCTTATCTGGCGTAGGCTCGAACATTGCCGACATTTCGCTCTGTGGCACATGGCAGTGCGCAGTGAAACTCAACGGTGGCAGATACTCGCAAAGTAGGCTTATGCAGTCACCGTGCTGTATGTGTGCCTGAACCAGTGTTTACGAAACTCGGTGTGTATATCATGACAACCGAGCGCATCTCAACGCCGTACTTCACAAAGCCCTCCCATCAGTTCTGTCTGTATTGAGTATCGCCTCTATTGCTGCTAGGCAACGGCTCGGGAACGTCTTTACCAAGCGGTTCGTGTCATATTAAAGGAAAGTAGGCGATCGGTTCTTCACAGAACTTCTCGTTATAATCACTGTCTCAAACTATAAACCAATCGCAACGCTCTTACCCCCACAGAAACAGAAGATCTCATTAGACGCAACCGGAGCGCTAAGAACATCCCAGTGAGCTCAGCTCACGGCGACCAAGTACGCTCACGAATCAAACACTGCAAGTTCTCAGATCGTCAGTCCTGCGGCTGGCCTACTCGATCGAGGCTTTTCGTGGTTTTCTTAGGTCCTATAGCAAACGCTGATTTGGTATCACGCAGACCCTGTACCCCCACTCTAACCCAGCAATTCCAAAATTAATATCAAAATTCTGGCCATACACAGCAAAGTCTCAGCTCAATTTCTCTCCTCTGCTCACAACAATGACTATTTACCACTTCCCAAAGCTTTACCCTACCTCGAACGTACCTCTCCTAGGAGGACGAGGGGAGTAGAAACATTTTTTGTCCCTTCGTTTTAGACTGCCGAGGGTCAATCAACCGAGAGGTCTGGCTTCTTTACCCGTCCCCCTCAGGTCGGCATGCGGCTGCACCTGGCAGGAAGTGAAACCGGATACACAAACATCTTTATCTCACGCGACGTCTGCCAGAGTCTTGGGTTCACATCTGGAGCGACTCACACCACTCCACCGAATGGAGAGGGAGGAATGCAGGAGCTTCAGTGTTTCTGGTGGAGAAACCTTGTGGTTCCCGGTAGGTGTCCAGCTGGAAGACCTAGGAAGAGATGGGTTAAACTGATCTTGGAGGAATTCTCTGTGAAACGGGCTCAGAACAGGACCTTCTGAGGGCGGGGGGCACTCCTGCTTCCTACTCTGGGGAAATCCCAAGTTCAATCACGACCCACAAATCAACAATTCTGAGTGGATTTCCTCAGTCCCTCCAGGATAATGCGGTAAAGTACCTCACGTGAGGCGCAGACCCAGCCTTCTACAGCCCTTCCAATTCATTATTCGACTCCGTACAGTCTGGGCTAGTGGGGCCCGCTATTTCGCTTCATTTTCTTACTGGTCCTCCCAGATACTGAGAACACAAAATTATAATTTCCCTGCTGTTTTGTATGACTGCATAACTCGGTCTCTCACGCTGAGGGTGTATGCGAGGAGGAATGTTTGGGCTTGGGGGGAGTCACATAGGAATGGAGAAGACTGCTTAATGAGGAGCTTCATAATTTGTGCTCTTCATCTAATATTGTTAATATTAGGGTGACGGGACCGAGAAGGACCAGATGGGTGTGACTTATAGCATGCATTGATGAAACCACAAATACATTCGAAACTTTGGTCGGAAAATCTGAATGAAAGAGGCTACTTGCGACACCTAAGAGTAGATGGGAGGATAGTACTACAATATATTGTAGTATGTAGACCAGGTGCCGTGCAACGACCGCGAGATAAGCAAATATACAGGAGCCGTTACTGAGTAACGGCTTCGCAAACAAACATATTCCCACAGCAACGGCTGAGTTACAACAATAACGAACGATGTTTTCTGTGCGGTCCGCGCCGACATGTTATATCCAGGACAATTAGTGAAAGCTAATCAGTGCAGTTTAGTTAAGTGAGACAGAGAACTGCTGCGGTTCAGTCCTTGCAAGCCGTTGTCGTGAGAAGCCGGTAGCTGAGGCACGGGGACAGTTCGGGAACGCAGAGGAAGGGAACGTCCGCTTTGGTGACGCTCTAAAAATATTTTAAAGAAATGGCGTATAAGGATGGAGTGGATTGAACTGGCTTTCGACGCGTGTCCAGTAGCAAACTGTTTTGAATGAAGTAACGACCCTTCTGGTTCTATACAGGCAGGGAGTTTCTTGATCAGCTGAGCGACTATTAGCTTCTGAGGGAGAATGGCCGTAGAGAAAGAGGCAGTGCGTGGATCAGGTTCCACGCTAGGCCTACTGGGCGTGGCATGTCCCTATCCTCTGACAAGGCAGAAACCGTCGCCTAGCAACACGCCATTGTTACGCCACAAACTGCGTGATGACACGTCGGGGTTACTGACACCTGCGGCGGCCGTCGCATTTGCATGGCCGCGTGGACAAATTAACTGCTGAGTTTTGTAAGAGGCCTTGATGTCGGTACGTAATAACGGCAAAACATCTTCATACTTTCTGGGTCATTCGAACATAAGTGAGCGCGGGACGAGTGCATCCGGAGGCAGACGGCGTCCTGCCAGTTCCTTGGATCAGGAAGTGAGGAGGGGCACGAATGTGACCAACTTCCGAATTTTTCGAAAGAGGCTCAGAAAGATGCAGAACCGCTCTGCTAACCCGCTCTGTAGGCACCAATATTGCCGTGTGCATCCTGACCTTGACACAAACAGTGACGACAACGCAAACTGTACTGATGGCGAATACCGCTGAGCTCGCCTTTCCCAGGCTTCGGGTTGTGCGACGTCCGAGGCTACCAAAAACTGGGCCGCCATATTTCTTACATCGTACCAATATCTGCCGCAACTGTGCTGAGTGATGGCTCCCAACTCTGACATGCTACTACTGCTGCTACCAAAATAAAACGCAGAGAGACCTATAGTGACGTGATGTTCATACAAAGTTTTGCTAAAATCCTTCCATTTGTTACAAAATGAAATACATGCATGGAAACACACCAGTTGCAAGGTCATGAGGGCCATGACATCTTTCTGTCTCGTAAGAATGTACCGACGTTTCGGAGAACATAATGAGAACGGCTCACACAGCTCACAGCCTGCGGTTGCTCTAATCGCATTAGAACTGTGGACACAGGAAACGCGTTGTAATTCTGAGTGATGCGGCATCTTCCGGCCATTGTTGTCTGTGACCAGGTCAAGTGACAACTGACAGTCGCTCAACATATACGTGTCACGAACATTTCGAAGCACGCCGTTTAGTGAAGAGCCTTATCGTCTAACATATGACGTAGTGTAGTCTAGTACAAGTTCACCGACGTTTCGATGGGATGTACTGCCTCAATCTTCAGGGCAGAAAAACAATTGGGGGTCTACTTCCTTAATACTCGTTGCTTGCTAGGTTTACTCTTCGTCCGTGAGGATGGAGGCAATACTTTCCTCGAACTTCTCTCAACCAGACTACACGGGGTAACATTTCAGACGACAGTGTACTGAGAGTCACTCCGTGAGAACCACAAATCCGCCTACTAGCGCTGAATGCGGCTGTGTGGAATCACATACACTGAATGGCCGCGGTGAGAGGATTTATTTTTACGTTTACTCTCAAGTTCAGTGGCTCAGATACTTTCGAGACCGCCATGTTAGCACCGTTTGCGATCGTCTGAACCTTTACAGGTACGTCCACACAGAACTCTGTGGCGGATTCGTATCCATGGTTACGCAGCGGCCCGTCCCATCTCGCGTCGGGCACTGTTACTACAGCTCGGTGCAAGTAGTACGCATAATTTTCCGCTAGATGTCACACCTTCCCTGCAGAGTGGAAATTTCACGTGCTTTCCCGACATGAGTGAAACCTGAAGTAATGTTCCGACATGTGCACAAATTGAAAAAGAAAGCAAAGTGTCGCTTTCACACGAGAGAGGAAGGGTGGAGCGGGGAACAAACTGCAACAAAGTATCTGCCACTCATCACGATCGTCTGGCAGCTGCAACCTCACTACATGTCTTTGTAGAATTCGTATTAATATTATTCTGCCTGCTGCTCCATCTTCCAAGCCGCGGTTTATCAAAGCCATAGCCGCCATAATGAAGCCAGGAAGTGTAGAAATCATGAGCTTAACATCGCCACTTGACCAATCTTAAGCGCAGGCTACATTTTACAGGTCTACCCCCGAACTCCTTGCAGCCTGAAGTCCATCTACATAACCCACACACAAATGAACGCCTGCTGAGGCCTGTCGGCAGGCTTTGGCGACGCGAACACGTGACGGTGAAGATTCCACTCTGCCTCCTTGCCCTGCTTTACGAGAGTGACGACGGAGTCACTTTTACCAGACTACACGGCGCCACATCCCACAAGACACGAAACTACACACAAAGCCCACTTTACTCACCCAGGCAGTCGGCGTCCTCTCCACTGCATCCGGGCGCGGAAAATGTGGACGCTGTGTCTTCACTGGCTTGGGCGACGTGACGCGGCGCCACGCGCAGGCTGTGACGCAGCGGCGCCATGCGCAAGAGACGCGGGGCAGAGCTGTCCAGAGCGGTGAGGGGTCGCTCTGATGGGCGGAAGAGGACCATCTCTGTAACAAGAACACACGAAGTTTCACAAAACATGCCCCTCACATCCCGCTTCTTCTTACAGATTCATTTTAATATTATCCTGCACCTGCGCCCAAATCTTCTAAGAGGTCTCTTCCGTTGAGATTTTCCAATAAAAATCTTGTATTGCCATGAGCGCTACACGACCCTCCCATCTGATCACCCCAGCAACATTCAGTGAAGGCCACAAAACATGAAGCTCCTCATTCTGCAATTTTCTCCACCCTCTTGTCAGTCTCTTCCCCCTCAGACCAAACGTTCCTAGCACCCCGGCGTTGCTGTCCTCGCAACCTGGATTCCGCGGTTCGATGCAGCTCTGCAACGCCGAGCCGAAGTGCTGCCAATGAGCAACAGTCATTAACATCACGGCCTTCTGAAACCAGTCACGTCTAGAGTGAGGACTTGACAACCTGAGAAAAACCACGATATGAAGCCGACGAAGGAGCAGGTCAGGCGAGGCAAACTGAACGGTTCCAAGGTGGTTCTGTTGGCCAGAGCTAGAGCCCTCGTCTAGACATCGTGGAAATCTGCTCCCACGCGTGTTGCAAGTCTTAACGGCGGCGGGATGCTTAGACGCGGAACTAGCCTTTCATGTTCAACTTAGAAATAAGTAATTATCTCTCTGCATGTGAGAGCCAGTTCAATGTCTGTGTTACATAAAGCGACTGATCAGAGGTGTGACTTGGAAAGTTCTTGCTCGCTCACCCGTCACTTCTCACCACTGAACCGAAACGTCAGCAAGGTCGAAATGCAGTGATCTGCAGTCACCATAGCAACCGTCACATTATCATTATCATCAGGTGCTGCTGTTGGCAGGCAATTTAACCATGTCGTATCAGCAACAAGGGTTACTTAGAGTCGATCCATCATGTGGCTGTGGAAGGTGAGGCGATAGGTTAGTCATTTCGCATTGCTTCATCAACTGCTTGCTATACACAGCCGAACTGCAGGGTGACTAGGAAAGAACACAGAAAAGTACTATCCTAGCATTCGAAAGACGGAACTGTGAGAACGGACACAAGACACGAGGCAGAAGAGCGACACGGCCTCCAGCAGACAGTACATAGCACACTGGGTCTCACCTCACAGAAAACACACTGCGACTCGGTTAATGTTTGGGCAAGCAACCGCTGTTTATTGTGGGAATAATATATACTGTAAGAAAAATGTGGCGTTACTGAAGGCGGTAAATATAGTTACCACTGTGCTATAAATGGTTAACAGTAACTGTGCTGGACCTGACGTTCTTACAACGGCCATTATGAAGAACGCCTTGATCCACTGTTGCACAGAGGCGCGGTGTGCGGGATCCGTTTGCGGCAGACCGCAAGAATGTAGCAGCGCTGGGCTCCCGCGCTTCGGCACAACACACGCGTGGAGTGCTCCAGCCGCCTTTATCCTGAGGGAGTAAGTCCCGATGCCTGTAACAGCTGTTCCTGTCCAAACAAATGCTGCGTCAGACCAAGCCCCCGTAAGCACTGGTGGGATGGCTGCCTCAGCGCCACGGTGTCTACCACAATCCCCACACACGGCCTTCTGTTTCCGAGACGTACGTGCACCGCCTTCCTGATGATTTCTGCTACTCGAACCGCCAAATATGGCGGCCGATGTCAACAGGAAGAGGGGCCATCTTGGACGTGTCGAATGAACTTCCTCATGGCGGCATGCGCTCAACAGTGACACATGTTTCGGTTTCATGTCACACATCACGACAGAATTGGAACAAACTAGGCGTCTGCTTCCAACAGCCCTTCCCTCCGCATTCGCCCAGTTTCATCTGCAAGAGGCGCGGGGCGTGTGAATTGCCTGCCGTATTACAGACGATATTCTGGTAGGGGAAAGGTTCTGATATCGATTTCGTGGGGATGAAGTTAACCCTGCATCCAACGCACCCTGCTCCCTGAAGCAGCATCCCCTCACAAAGCATGGGGTGAATTCCTCCACAGACGGTAGGGGAGTTCGTCTCGCCCCTGCTGGCTGCCCTATTAACAAGGCCTGCCTGCACCTGTAAACTCCGCCGTACGAAGATCCAGTGCGCTCTCCTCTGCTGTCACAGCACACGGAGGAACATACCGTTGACGTCTTCAGGGTAGAAGAGAACGCAACTTCAATCCCAGTTGTGGGAGGGTTCAATCGAAATTCAGTTAAAACCCATAGCGACGTGTTGTCATGGCTGACAAACCACAAAGCGCTTAGTCGGTCGCGTCTTGTTCCATCGGCTCCTCTGGCGGTGTCACGATTATGGCCTCGGTTCCGGAGGGTCAGAAGTCAGCTCCGCGCTCCGTACGTCTTCAATCCAATGTGTGGGCTTCGAAAAGACTCGAACCCCTTCCTTCAACCCGGGGCATCCAGAACCTGTACGACTTGCTGTTCGCTGCACCGACAGCCACAACGTTATGCAATCGTACTCGGTTCGCATCTCGGTCGGGTGACCGGCTATTCTGAGTTTGTTTATGTGCTTCTCGGCTCCTCCAGCACCAAGATCGCTTCCTTCCATACCCCTTCCAATTCATCATTCATCATCATCCTACCACGACGCTATACCGTCTCCTGACGACAGAAACGTTACTCAGACGGGCTAGGATCCTTTATGATAAGCCACTGGTCGCTCGGCCAGTCAACAAATTCCCTGCGTCTCATGAAACCTGCAAGCTCATTACCGTGTTCACAACAGCTCGCCACAGGACCGTATCCTGAGCCAAACTGTAATATTATCTGCCCATCTATGCCTAGTTCTTCCAAGTGGTTTCTTCTTTTCAGCTGTCATATCGCGCACCCTGCACTGTCATGATGATCAACTGAAGTTGGAGCGCTGGCCACTTAGTTCACTCTTTCTCCGGAGCCAGACGGGGGATGCAGGGGGTTGCAATGAAGCAAGAGCTCCACTCTTCTGAGGGTGAAAAGTTATTTGCGGCTCAAGACGGGGCGAAAACGTGTAGGGGATGATAAGGCCATAAAAACACGACCCTTACCTCCTCCATCTCCCAGGGGCCCTAAGACATGACATGGGTGTGCGCGTGGAGCTCACGTTATGAGCAGGACGAGAAGGGAGAAAAATACACTTGGAGGAGCTTCGTGATTTGTACTCTTCATCAGGTATTGTTAGAGCAAATGAGTGGGGGCATGTAGCACGCAATGGATAAATGACAAATGCTTACAAAATTGTGATCGAGGAACCTGAAGGAGAGGGACGGCTTATTAGACCTAGACATTGATGGGGCATAGTACTAAACTGGATCATATGCAAGCACGGAGTAAGGGAGTGACTTGCAAGAACCTGCCCAAGGCCGTTCCACGGAGCGAACCTTCGTGTCCCATACAAAGGGGTGAACTTCTACAGACTTCTCAAGAAGGAACTGAAAGATGTGGCGGGAAACGGGAGAACGCTCATCTCAACAGTCGGTCCCAGGGATTGAACTCAGAACTTACATACGTCTGCCAGTGTTCGTCTTCGCCTTGCCAAAAAAAAAAACAAAGCCCAGTAGCTGACAGGACGGTTGGCAAGCCTGCGAGATAGATCTCGTTGCCACGCAAACGAAACCGGAAATGATGAGCAGCGACTGATAAGAGCATTAGTGCGGACCCGGCAACGGCTCCGTTAACAGTTGACACAAACACGACAGGGCTGGCAACTCTGCAATATTATCATTACTATTACTTAACTGGGAGCACCATGCTGCAAGCGGGAAGGTCGCGGGTTCAAGTCCTGATGAGGTCATTGGATTTTTCAGTTGATCCGATCCTTGCAGCCGCACTATGGCCCTGGGGTTGACTCAGCCTCTAACAGAAATGAGAACCAGGAATATTCTTGGGGGTAAAGGGCAGCCGTCGCGTAGGGCTGACAACCTTAGCGCCATCTGTGAGCCGATTTTCTAGAAAATGTGGGAGCCTCGACGCCTCAGAACCCTATGGGCCTCCATGGCCTGATACGAAGGAAGTGGTCATGGCATACTTTACATACGTTTCCATATATTTCTCCGGGGACTGTTGCAATAACACGTGACGTCGGGCCCGTTACCTCCCGGCCGGAGAAGTAGCCGTGGCCAGCAACAGATGGCGCACAGTGGCGACACACTGCCATGACAACTGGAGACCTGCCGCTCCTACTCGGTTCGTATCCAGGCCTGTACTTCCTTCATCTGGATGCTCCCGTAAGGCCAAGACAGAAAGATAATATTAAAATGAATATCAGGAAATTGGGTGTCCGGCACACCCTGCTCCTAAACCGCCAGCAGTCGCACGGCCTCCTACTGCCTACACGCCTTATGTCACCACAAGTTCCAGTATGTTATGCAGCATCACCGAAATGCCTGCTACACCAGTCCGGCACTGCCTCGCGCTGTCAACATGGTGCACACGACAAGCGTCGACCTCAGGACCGCAGCAGAGCATGCAACGCTGCAGCATTTGGCAGGTGAAGAGCCACGTGGAAGTCAGCGGACGTTTCGGAGGAACATGTCGTCTCCATATTCAGGACAGAAGAGTAAACCGCACAAGAAACCAGCAACAAGCATCAGTAAAAACAGCTGACAGCTGTCTCCCTGTAGCACAATGGCAGCTAATTTCACTGCTGAAACGACTACTACTACTACTACTACTACTACTACTACTACTACTACTACTACTACTACTACTACTGCTGCTGCTGCTGCTGCTGCTGCTGCTGCTGCTGTCGCCATCGCTATCAATAACAACAACAATGGTATGTCACTTTAGGTGACGCCTTGAGGTTAAGCCACGGTCTGAACGCAGTGGAAAAAAGGAAATCTGTTGCTCCACAGCGCGAGGCCGCATGCTGCCCACTGCTGCGCGGCTTGTAACCTTCTAAGGCCGGACATAACAGAGATGACGGGTATTCTCGTTTCCGGACGTTACTCACGTCAGCTCCCGCATGCAAAGCGCCTGCAGCAATATACATTTCTGTTCCTAACGCACAGAAAACACAACGCGTCTTCATTACAAAGACCAACCAAATGCACAAACGCACTGTGTGGGCAAAACAAGAGCTACTTCAATGTTAAAGCGGCGGTACGTATAGTTACCGCTATGCGTGTGACAGTCCACTGACCTTGTGAACCTAATCATTTTGTCATGTTTAACCTCGAGAAATTTCTGAGACAAGAAGTTAAGATGCAGGCCAACAGAAAGACAATCCAATTTGCCCTAAACCTGAGTCACTGTTGCACGCGCGTCTGGTGTGTTCTCCTGTGTGAGTCAGTCTCTCAGTCTCAAGCAACTGTCCTTCAGAGATGATTTCGGGGGCGAAGCACCAAGGTCGCGCTCCACCTCACATGGGACCCCGCCTATCGCTCGTCACTACCCGCGACTCACAGCGGTTCCCGGACCGCACATGACCCTGAGGACCCTGAGGTCGGGCTCCTATCTCTCCCCTCAGAACGCTGGTATCTGTCTCCCAACGTGCAAGGCGCCCTGGTCCCAGTTGAAAGTACGCCGCAACTGTGTCCAGAGCAGCTCCTGGCCCCGCCCACCAGGGGATAAAGAGTGACGTCACACACAAAGGAACCCGCGGAAGCAAGTCTCCAGAGTGAGCCCATGTGTCCGTCCGCACGTAACAACTCGAGGGGCCGGGCGAGGAGACAAGAGTCGTGCTCTTTTCGTACGGGTGATGAACACTGTAACTTTCAATTGTTGCAGAGTGAGGGAATTAAGTTGAAACCGGGGAAACTTCCCTGCTGTCAGGTTTCTGAATACGATCCGTTCTGACATCGCATTACGTAACTGCGGCGGCGCACTCGAAGCGTACACTTGGACTTCGGAACAACCGACACTTCCGCGCGTTTCCGCGGCAACACGCGCGACAGCCGCTTCCTTGTTTCCGTCTGCCAAAACAATCCGCTGCAAGAAAGTCCGCCTGTTGCGCTTTCTATAGGCGACATGGCTTCCTGCGGCCCGGAGCAATGCCACTGAAACGGAAAACAATATTACAACTGGATTGACTGTATGCTTTCCCGGGAACATGAATGTGTTTCCTGTCTCTCGCTACTGCTTCTGTTCGTCCCGATAGATACACGCACTAGCGAGTTACGCTGGGACAACGCGCAGACACACGCGTACGCCGTTCCTGTTGTCTGATTTTAACCCAAACTGCAATGTCTACGCGAACTTCATATGAAGTTTCATGAAGATGGTGCCAGCAGATCTTGAGTTGCTGCGTAGCAAGTCGATAGGCGCGACTTTGCATTGCCTCAAAAACTGTCTTACGGTCATGCATAAAGGACGCGTCATCCTACTAGTGGCTGCCGTCGATACGAACATTACAGCTCGAGCAATCGCTGTAGCAACGGCTGGTTTGCGCCGATGAATCAAAGAGTTAGAATCCGGGGAATTTGGAGCCGTCATTTGTGATGTATCCAAGGTTAGCGAACAGTTCCCAAGAAATTTAACCGACGTGCAGACGTTTCTGCGGGGGCGCCCATGCGTGACGAAGAAATCTCACAGGCTGTCACATGGCTTGCATTAGGGCAGGCGTCTTTACAGTGCCCTATCAGTGCGCTGTCCTAACCCTCTTGTGATATTCTGCCAGCTGAGACGTCAACTACAGCATGCAATACAACAAATGGATCATTCTTCAGACAAGAGATATCACAGACGTTTCGGGCAGCACATTATCCAAACCTCTGTCCTGAAGTTATCACTTGACAGGGTACAGGGTTAAGAGACGAAAGCTTTCTTCTCACTCAGATATGAAACAGCGTGAAGGTCGTAAAGTAGATCACGAAACGTCATGAGGAGGGCCAATATGGCGCCGTGCGAACTTGAGAAGTCCGTTGGCTCCTGAAGTACCGTCTTGGATACAATCTGTAATTCCATGCAGCTGGGTCCTTGAGAAGCTGACAGGTTCTCATTGCATACTGCCCGCATTTTCTGGAACCCCAAAGTTCGGCGAAGTTCATTAGCGCGGTATGTGTCACTCCAGGGCCCCGCGGGGCCCCAAACGAACCACTGGCCTTCTTATACAGAAAGTGGTTAGGCGGGCTGCGGAATGTAGGCACTGACGAGTCAAACCTGTCATCTGACGTCACAACAGTGTCCGACCGACTGAATGTCTGACGTTTATGTAAAAAACATTTAAAGATTCAGTTCCCACTTCACAGAAAACAGTCTACAACCATTACAAAGACAACCAGCAGCATACTACACATACACATGTAATGGGCGGAGAAAGTGTAGAGCTTGTGAAGAGCCGTCGGTGCGTAAGGGAACCACCCCCAGGACTGCCAACTTCTGAACACCGCACAGCCGACCTACAGCCATCCTGACATGGGGGGGCAGAAATCCCGGCCGAGGCACCAGCTATCCAGACTGAAGTCCATGGCTTCCCTCAGTCCCTGCAGGAAAATTCCGGCGCAGTACCTCTTCCTTGCAAATCCTTTTCAGCAGCCGTGGAGGTAATGCGCCACAAATTCCGAGTCCAGCGGGCGGTGTGACAGCAGAACACGTACATCCGTTCCCCTTCCTAACAACAATCGGAATTCGTGGCAGCTGTACACCAGCGCCGAGAACAGCGAACCGAAGCTGCAAGACACAACACTAACAAACAAACTAACTCCATGGAGCAGACTCCTTCTCCTCAACCTGGTCTAGAAATCCGAAGGTTCATTACCGTGTTCCAGCGGAACGTGTTCTGAGAAAGCTGAACCGAGCCCACACCTTCACACACTGTTTCTTTGAGATTCGCTTTAATATTACGTTGCCATCCACCCTGAGTTCTCCGACTCACCCCCCCCCCCACGCGTTAAACAAACCGCGTTTTGAGAAGTCGTTCCGAGCAACAGGACAAAGGGTCTGGGGCCAGGAAGTGGCCGGACATCTGCTTTCTGTCCGCTCCAACCTGCCCTGTGGAAGCGTCACACAGCTCCTTGCCACGGGATACGAACCGCACACGGTTGAGTAGTATCCAGTCTACCAAACTGTGTGTGCAGTATTCTTTTACGGGAGTTGAGCAATTGATAACTGATATCAGAATACATCTTAGCCCTATAAAGCACGGTTGTAACTATATGTACGATTTGCTTGAAAATACAAAACCTCCGCATTCTGCCCACAGAGTGTGTGTGTGTTCCGTATGGTTCTCACACCAAACAGCGGCTGTTTCCTTAAACAGCATTAACCGTTGGTCTCTGTAGCGGAGACGTAATGTTTCCTGTGAGGTACGGACTGAATTCTTATATCGGCTTCAAATGCGTAATGACGCCTCCTTTCTAATCACGCAGGCACTTTAACACGTTATACATTTTAATATTAGCTCATCCTGCAATATGGGTACTTTGCAAGTTTCTATATCAAAATTACGTATGCCTTTTCTCGTTGTACCGATCTTCGTCAACAATAATGTCCAAACACACAACCTACCGATGGAGGTACAATGGATACGAATTCAAGTTGTTAAGATCAGGACGTACTTAGGAGGCGAGTTGTAACACTGCCGTGCTACCAAGCACATGTCAGCAACAAATCCGGTTTACGTAACATCACACAAATGCGACCACAACTGTTTAGTAAGTGCAACAACAAACAACACCAGGCACACTGCTGCAATTTCACGACAGCTGACAGACCTGCTGTTGACCTGGCAACGTTACAGAGACTCAAACCCACCTACTGATAACTTCAGTCCTTCTTCTCAGGCCTTACTGTTTCAAATAACCAAATTAAACTCAAACGAAAGTCCCTGCGCTGAGCCGGGGCTAGCACGTCACTTTCCTTCCCGATGCCTTCCTCTCCAAATTCGGGATAACGCACCAGAGAGAACCTACGGCCCTTGTTGCCAAGTCAGTTAACATGTGACTGTCTACCCTTCCTTCACGATGTCAATTGAGTTATATGAGCACAGACAAGCTGCAAGCCCAGTACACATGAGCCGCACAACAAAATAATTGTGAAGTACTGAACGTCACTTACGAAACGTCATCTAACTCTTGTTAGCTTAGCTTGCCTACAGGCACTTCCGGGCTGCTGCAATCATCTATTGTTGTCTCCTGTTCATTCCACAGCAAAGTCGATGCAACATAACCCGAAGAACGAACATAAAGTTCGATACTGAAGGATTCTCGTCATCAGCCACTGCACAGTGCCACAGAACGCGGGGATAAACATCCCAGACTAAATTCTGCAATATTTCAAATGCCATATAAATGATCAAGCCTTCATATTATAAAACCACGTCGTCAGTTTCTCACTGGTCACCCGTTTCGATGGTCTCCCCTGTCACCGAACTTCACTCCCCAATTCAGTTGTTTGCAACTGTTTAACGCCGCGGTTGCTCTATTCTCGTCCCGGAATCTGCGGCTGGCGCGTGGGGCCCGTTATCGCGCAGTTCCCCGTCGCAGCCTCACATGCGGATGTGGAAAATTAACGCGACAGAGAAATGTGAACCCCGTAGTGAGCGAGAGCACGGAGAAGTGTGAAAAGCCGGAACAGGCAAGCAGTAACCACCGCTTTTCAATGGCAACTGGAACCTCAGGAGCCTGGAAACCTGACGTTCATAACCTCAATTACCACTCACCGGGAAGTAGCGCGCTGCGGTTGCTAGCTCTGACACTCGACACTCACCGTTACCACACCACTGCTCAGCCTGCAATGCACTGCGAGGGTCGCCCGTCATCAGAACTCCGAGCGGACGTGGTGTTCTGCCTCCAGACCGAGCCACTGTCGCCGTGACGTAACGGTGGATCAGCTGTGTATGTGACGTGTGACAGACAGCAAATAGTAACACGAGACGCCTGCTAAAAGGGAACATGTCACAGAGCAACTGTAGTCTGTTCTACGGCCCTGTCAGTAGCTAAACCACACAGCGTCCAAGGACAGGATGACACGAACGGCGTCTGGTACGAAGCCGTCGTAACGTAAGCGAGGAATTTTGCCGGAAGGACTGACAACAAGCACACAGAAACTCGGTTACGATAGCCGTTGGGTCGGCCGAGTTTCGAACCCAATGTATGGGTAGAAAGACAGCTGAACTCGAGCAGCTTAGTGTAGCGGTAGCGTTTTCCTCATTCTCCGGATATGAAAGGCTAAACAGGTGACCTCCATGCAAACCGGCCACGACCGTTCCATTCTAAGTCCCTTATAGCTAGTTCGCATGTCTCTTGACAACATGCGTGTTCGGAACAGCGTCGTAAAATATCCAAAATTGTTTAATCACAAACTGTGGGGGGGGGTGTATGTGTGTCTACTGTTCATTACGGACGCTGCCAGCTGCTGAGCCAACAGGCAGGCCTTTAATGTCGAGTTGCAGAATGATGAGTGAATAATACATTTGAGGGGATTGGAAGGAAGCGGTCGTGGCCTACTCTGATACATCATCCCGCCATTTGCTTTGAAGGCTACAAGCCGGTCTCGGGGTCGAGATTTGAAGAAGAGATCTCCCGAAAACGAGGCAGGGCAGAAGCAGGCGCAACGTGGGGTCAATGTAACGGAAGAAGGCAAACGAGCGGACACAGCGTGTGAAGCTTCTCACGGCTCAGCCCAGCGTGGGACAGAGGGCAGGCCCCACACAGCGCTGAGCTAACCTGCGTGAGAGGCTGATACAAGCTTACTGGCGTTTCGGAGGAGCGTACAGCCTCTATCTGCAGGGTCTAAGAATGAGCCAACCAAGCAGCAGGCAGAGTGATTCTGGTTGCTGTTGCTGCGTTGGCTCACTCTTAAACCCTGAAGACGGAGGCAGTATAATGCTCCTAAACTTCGCTGAACTGTTGCACACAGACGTATCTGGCACTCAGTGCCGTTCCTACTTAACTCCCCGATACATCGATTCATTCAGAGCGCCTAAACACAAAACTCCGATACGCAGAATTGTACGGATTTCGCCAGACATCGCGACAAGAGCCAATCTTGCTTCAAGCAGGATGCTTCGCCTAGCGCGGGCGTGGAGTTTCCTTCCTTATCGGCGCGACCAACGCTGAGGGCCTCCACTGCTGTGATACAGAATAGAACAGCACGCGGCGCTTCATTGTTGGACTGCAGTCGTGGCCTACTTTAATGCTGGGGGGATAAGAACAATTGTGACAGTTCCGAAGCTTAAACGGACCACCCTGTTACTGTACCAGATACATCATCATCATCAGTAATCTGTCAAGACGACTGGTCCACAGTCTCTTTCAAAACAGTTCCTCCACTTGATGCGATCTAGAGCTTTCTCCTTCAAATGACAGTATCCTCTTCTGTCCCCAAGGTCATCCAGCATCTTCTTACGTCTTCTTCCTCGTCTCCCTGTCACTTCTATCCGCCCCTCTATATTTCCTTCGATAACTTGTTTTAGAAGGCAGTTTCTGCGTAAAACATGACCAATCCAATTGGCCTTCCGTTTTCTTATTTCGTGTAGGATATTCCTCTGCTCACTGACTCTAATTAACACTTCTTCATTTCTCACATAATCGGTCCAACTGATCTTCTCCATTCTTCCCCAACACCACATTTCGAAACTTTCCAGATGTTTCTGATCTACTGCCCTAAGTGTCCATGTTTCAGCCCCATACAGAGCTATGCTCCAAATGTAGCATTTCACTAGTTTCTTCCTCAAATTTAAGTCCAATTTGCTGGTAAAAAGATTCTTCTTC